TGAATGTCTGGAGGTGTAGGCACCTCGGAATGATTGTGTTAAGCTAGCACTAAGTCCCTCCCCCATCCACCTTTATTCTTTTCTTTACAATAAGGCTTTCAAATAAGTCATGGCTGTACGGCAGTGAAGCATTGGTGTTGAGCACTGATGTCATGCTGTCGTTGATGATGATGATGATTCCTCGTATGATGTGTACTAAAGCCGATACCCAGACGATACCATCGTAACCCGCAAGGTCATAACCAAATTGGCCTCCTTTATGGAGTTTAATGTTTTTTTTAGAATTTGGTTATAAAGTATCAGTGCAAAGCTGGGAAGGAATGCCAGCGTACTCGTAATACACTAAGTTGGGGGCGTTTCTTGCAATCGTGTTTGTTAGTTGGCTACATGGTTCCTTTTTCAACCTGATTGATGATACAGATTGGAGAAAACACTGAATGATGAGAGGACTATTTTAGAAGTGCATCGTAATCAACTGCTGAAGGAAATGTCAGACGAACGGGAACGTTTGACAGTGCTAGTAGCAAAAGAAAGAGAGACGGCACAGAAAATGAAATTCGACTTGGATAAACTTTTGAAAGAATCCGTGGAGCGCCACCAACACGAAGTAGAGGGTCAGAGAGAACAGCTCACAAAGCAGCACCAGGTATGTGCAGATCGATACGTGTGGTATATCAGGTAATGATTTCGCGTTAGTTTCAATGATTGAAGTATGTGGGCATGTGTGATGCAAAGATGAAGCGTGTTTTATGTCTTCCAAAAAGAAACGTCATGGTGCAATTCCATTACGCTAGTTTATGACCATATTTAATTTTGAAAAATGAATTCAGAGAATGCCATTTCCTCTCTCTAGTTGTCGTTTTTATTAGTAACATCCTCAGCACTCGACTAGGCCTGTTAGGGCAGTGATTTGGATTGTCTTCATGTAAGTACTCTGCACGAGGATTAGCTGTCTGTTCATGTGTAACGCTTCGTGAATCACCTCTTGTCGAAACCACTGCTGTTTTCCGTGTCTCAGTGCAGTCAGAAGAGGAACAATAAGTTGTTGTGCCAGAACAAGATGTAGGTTAACGATTAACAAAAGTCTATGTATTATCAATGCTACCTACAATTCAGGATGGGGTTCGCGTAGTTTTTCCCGTGCTGCGCCAGAAACTGCAAAATCTGGCTAGTGGTTATAATCAATGGTGCTGTAACTGCTATATTCTGTTGTGAATGTCTGAACAAGCGTTGGAAAGTAAAGATATCTCGGAATGCTTGAAGTGAGCCGGTAATTTGTCCCATTCCTCTTACACTTTGCCGTTTTTTTTACACTGGTCTTCAAATAAATCACGGTTCGGCGGTAGCTTAGCATCGGTGTTGAACATTATTGATGGATCGCTAATGGTCAGGGCAGCGATGAGAAATTGAAATGGGCAACCATATCAAAGATGGGAACAGCCCCCTAAATAAACCACAGAAAATGAGAAAAACGGGAATAAATGAAGAAGAAGTTCACTATTTAGAACAAAAGGGCCATTACAAAAACGACTCCTGGTATGGTATACCGAAAGCTTGTGAACATATTTTAACTGGTGATGATAAGTTTTGAGGAATACATGGACAGGTCTAATGATTATTTCCCCTTAAAACTCCTACAGCAAAACCATTCGACCTTTCTCTGTTTTATGGCAAGAGACACATCAGGGTGCAGAGCGTGTTTTTGATAGTGGAATCGAGTGTACATTACTTTTTTGCATAGCTATATCATCAAAACGCATGCGCGTTTATGTCAAGACGTTAGTTTAACAGTTTTGGCTGTTTAAGGTTGACCCCAGTTTTTTTAATCAAATTTACCATCCTTCCGTTGTAGTGGATATGTTTAGCCGTTTGCAACATAGGTATAACGCGTGCTCTGATTGGTAGTCGTCCGAGATGAACAGAACTGCAGAAGTGACCAGATGGAGAACAAACTGATCAGTGGTGACACAGGAAGACGGTATCATATGTGGTTTAAAGTCCACTAATCTTTTTAATTCAGATGGATTTCATTCTCTCCAGGGTAATCAATGTCCCGATTAACCGATCACGTACGTGTCATCCGGACTGGAAAAGAACAGCACCTGGTATTTGAAGGGTACTCAATCTCAAATGTTTGTTTTGAATTCTTGTGTTTAAGATTTCAAGCGTACATTTTGTAGCTCAATTCCATAGTGTATATGTGCTTCGCATTACTGGACACAAAGAGATATCCATTCGCCTACCAAAGGGCTCACACTTGTTGCTGACGCAGTATTCGCACTTGTCCCTTGTTATGTATATTACAATTGAAGACAAAAAGTATAATCTATCAATCATTTTCAGCAACTGATTGAGGAAATGCAAAAACGCCACACTGTAGAGCTCGAGGCTGCCAAGGACAAACTTACTAGAGAACTAGAAGCAAAATATTCGGAACGTGAAAGCAATTTGCGAGCTCAACTTAAGCATGAACGCGATCGACAGTTGGAAACGGCGGTCCAGCGTCTAGAAGCTGATATGAACACGACTAAGGAGGAAATTCAACGCGACGCGGACAACAAAATCAGGCAAGTTTCATTATTACAATTTCAGTAGACTTATCCGTACCACGTTGTCCACCGGTAGAAACCATAGTTAGGTTGAGCACTAACCAACTCTTCAATATGGTATAATTAAAGGTGTCTTTGCTACGCCTCCTATTTTGGTAAATATTATAGACGGATGAAAGATAAGCATGCAAAAGAACTTGGTGAGTTGGAACAATCTGAACAGCAGATGGTAGCAAAATACAGCGAAATGCGGGTAAGTCCCCCAGATTGTTTTGAACTTTAGTGTTATTTCGTGTGTATGTCAAGCTAGAAGCATGTAGATCGTGGATGCAAAGATATGACCTGTTGGAATGTTGACTGTAAACCCAAGTATTGATCTAAAGGAGAATGAGTGGAACGAATCAAAGAAAAGATCGGCTATAACGAGGTTCCCTTCAAAACTGGGAGTTAGTACCTCAAGGGAAGTGGCACAAAAAAGGTAGCTTGGTGGAATGATTGAACAACAATAAACACCAGAAAGTTTGCAGTGATAGAAGGTAATCAATTGATAATATCCAAGTCTCCCAGAAAGGATAAAATGAGTATTTGGAGTAATATCAAATACATTTGGGATCGTAAGAACTCCCTGGTGCAGTCGGGTTAGTTTTAAGAGAGGAAAAGCACGAAAGACCTAGGTGAAAATAGATTTAACGATCCGATTTAAAAGAACAGTTTGACATGTTCTTGGTCACAGAATATTTCGGCTACTATTTCTGCTTATAACAGAACCAAGCACTCGAACTGGAACACGAGATCGAAAGGTACAAGCTACAACTACGACAAAGAGATGATGAGTTAGAAAATGTGAAATCTCTTTATGACAAGTTAACTGCCGAGAGGGAAAACATTACTGAGGTAGTACGCCAGGAATTCTCCGATCGGATTGTCGCATCGGTAGAGGAGAATAGATCCAATAAAAGGGCAATGGCGGNAGTATTTGGAGTAATATCAAATACATTTGGGATCGTAAGAACTCCCTGGTGCAGTCGGGTTAGTTTTAAGAGAGGAAAAGCACGAAAGACCTAGGTGAAAATAGATTTAACGATCCGATTTAAAAGAACAGTTTGACATGTTCTTGGTCACAGAATATTTCGGCTACTATTTCTGCTTATAACAGAACCAAGCACTCGAACTGGAACACGAGATCGAAAGGTACAAGCTACAACTACGACAAAGAGATGATGAGTTAGAAAATGTGAAATCTCTTTATGACAAGTTAACTGCCGAGAGGGAAAACATTACTGAGGTAGTACGCCAGGAATTCTCCGATCGGATTGTCGCATCGGAAGAGGAGAATCGATCCAATAAAAGGGATATGGCGGAGTTGAAGTCACGTCTGGCAATTGAACAAGATCGCCATCTGGCAGAACTGAAAGCTGTTAAACAGGCGAGTGCAACGGATTTGGAAGCTTTACACCAGAAGTGAGTTTGTATTACTTGAATCGAACCGAAGCTAAGGTTGACTGGTTTTATACTACTGTGCTGAGGAAAAATTCGTCATATTCAACAATATCACTGGTCATCATTGGTATTTTAATGCCCCGATTTAGTAATATTACAAAATGTTCTGGCTGATATTAACTTACTTTAAAGGCGCACCCCAAATAATATGTAAAAATAAAGACTACTTTTTTCGTCAAAACGTAGAATTCACTGGTTTAACTACCAGGGTATAATATTACAAATGCAGTATGATAGTAGAGCCTCGGAATTCCTGGTTTAATTTGTTTGATTCATTTATGTGGTGGATGAAATTTTAACTACCTTTCCTACGTTAATGTTGTGAAATGTTATGCGTTTTTTGGCAGGATCATTTACATACTAATTTGGTTCTTACAAGGACTAATATATGACATTATGTAAATGAATATCACGGAATAGAGATCTGGCTGATATTCAGTTGATGTTTTCGTTGAAACCGAGATGGTGTGCAGGTAAGTGTATTTTGCGAATTTCTTACAATTTGGGTCCAAACAAGAACTCGAGGTCTGCTCCTAAGTAATGGATCTTAAGAAGCAGGAAACCGGTCATGTACTGCTAAAGAGCCTTTGACAAACTCATAAGGAGCGCTTCTGTCTAGCTCAAAAAAGTCTTCTTTTATAATTTGCCTTCAACTGTTTGATTGTTTATCATCCGGTAAAGCAGGAGACCTTTAATTACATTTTAGTTTAAAGGCCAACTGTCACGGACCTTCCAGTCTATGTATTGTGGAGTAAACTTCCACATGGAGAGTAAGAGAACAGAAATGGAGAAACGATTGTTTAGCATCATTCATGGCAACCAAAAAGTGCTTATAAAGTCGTGGATAAAATTTCTCAATATTGGTACAAATTACGTGGATATTTGTTTGATTCAATGCCGTTTCTTGTTGAGATATGTACTTATTAGGCGTTAGCATATGACAACCAATCTGAATGGCTGTCTGTGTTTGCCTTCCAAGGAAAGATAACATCCAGGTGTACAAACAAATAATTTTTAGTCTTGATCCGATATATGAAGTGCAAATATGGTCTAGAGTTAAGGGGCACTGGGATGTACCGTTTTTGACTTGCATCTCTCTTCCAGGCCACACTCAGGTTGGTACACTCAGGTGTTGCTTTCGGGTAGTAATGCAGCAACAATAAACGTAAGTTGAATAACGGTGTATTCAGACTGATTTCAACGGATTTAAATCAGAACCAATATAACAGATATCTTAGTGTACAAACACGGGTTCTGTTTGTCTTTATAAACCTAAAGTTTCACCTAGACGGGAATCTTTCCAGGTTTGGAAAACGCCGAGCCAAATAAACCGGGAAAGACGACTAAGCATGATGATGTGCATTCACGTTTAACTTATAATCCCAAGACCATGTTCGATTCAATTAAATATTTGCAGAGCAGAACAGATTGCATCACCCTTTCAAACTGCACATCGACGGTTGGTTTTAAGGCCACATGTTAGGTGAATACACGCAGAGTAACAAAGGATTTATATACTGGGGCTAAACTGTGCAGAATCAGTTGACAAAAGAGTCGTTTGTTGGTTAACACCACTCAGGATGGTTAAAGTTTATATACATAAGTATATAATAAGAACTATGTCACAGATAGTTTTATTTGTTGCATAGTCATAGAGACGAGCTTGCGATTAGTGGAGGCAACGACAAAATTGTTACAAAAACTTGGCACGCAATAATTCCTGACGAAAAATTTCAACTACTTGGGATGCCTTTGCAAGTAGTTTTAGTTGCTACTTCTGAATGTATGCA